CCTCCCCCTCCTCCCCCGCGTTTGTATGCTAAATGGGAATTCGCGCTTTCCGTTTTTCTCGTTCCCCATCGAATGTAGTGGAATCCGCTGCGAGGGGAATGGCGTTTAAAGGTGAAGAAGTGGCGACACTCGATTTTATTTCCTTTTTTTCTCTCTTCGAATTCGAGAAAATCGTTAGGGGATTTCTTNGTTCTTTAATCGTTCGTATCTTTGATTAATTTTTTTTTTTTTTTGGAATTCCAACATTCCGTCAGAGAAATGAAATATCGAAAGGAGCGCTCGTTCAAGGAGCATAGGCCTGGAGAATTCCTTGTACTGTTATCCCTTAGTCAGCATCGTTCCACCTCTACGTACGCCAAGTCACGTTTACCCTCCGTGAAACATCCACTAGCCACATCCACGAGATCGAGTCGACGACGAAGGAGGCAACGCAGAGGCGCACGGTTTACGGGGGAGAGGTAAACGCTGCATCTTGAAGCGCATCGTCAGCGGCGACGCGGACTCTTGAGCCGCATTGCTCGGATGCTGGTGATGCGTACGAGCGTCTGGCAAGCTTGCCAGTAAGTAAACGTACGGTTAGACATGGTTAGACTGGCATCCGGCCGCAAGCTCTCAACCTCATTGCGACCATATACACCACCCCGATTCCCAGCTAGCTTTCGTGCTTCTCCCGTTGTTCCAACCCCCCTACCACCATCTCCCTATGTACGGGACCGATACCGATCCGCATACAGATATCGCATCGTCGAGACATTCAAGACATAACGGGCCGAGGAGAGATATGCATCATTAGGATTGCCGGACAGCCGACACACGCGCGTCCACTCGGCGCCGCGTTCCTACTATCCTTCGATTCTCCATCGGTCGAGATCGTTGGGATGCCAAGGGGTGCTCGCTTCCTAAGATGGCCCGCATACCCGCGTACGCGTATTCCTCCTCGACCTCCACCTCCACGTGCATCTCCGTGCGCTCTTCAAACGCGCCTTCCGAAAATTTAATTGAATTTCTATTAATTTTAGGTTAGGGTAAATTTAAAGTCTCGATCGCGAAGGACAAAGAATTCTTGAAACGATGCATCGCATATATTCCACGACCAGGGTCCTTTCCCTTCCACTTGGAATATTCCAAGAAAGGACATCTCTCTCTCTCTCTCGATGATCGTACTCGCTCGTACGCGAATTCCTAAATAAATTGCGTGCCTTCGTACATACGGGCTGGAAACGAACGAATAGGATTGTTGGAGCAGCGTGCAGCCTCCGGGGAGGAAGAGGGGAAGGGGGATGTAGGTGAGCGAAGGGGTTGGCAGAGGGATATATAAGCGCGGGGGGAGGGAGGGGGAGGGATACGAAACGCGGGATACGGGACAGGGAGGAAGAAAGAGAGAGAGAAAGATAGATGGTGATAGGATGAGGGCGGGGGGAGGGGGGTAGATACGGTGGTGGTGCCGATGGCGGTGCCAGTGACTCGGTCGAACGACCAGGGGTTTGGAAACCGTAATCGTTCTAACCCCGCGCCTCGACGAACCAACTACCCCTACGCTTCGTACCTGCCCTCCCTCCCTCTCGCTCTCACACCCCCGATGGCCCTGTGGCCGGTCGTGCGCTCGCTATTTATTGCCCGCACTCGGCCGGTTCACAACATAAATATGTTACACCTATGGCCACACCTACTGCCCACGGATCGCGAATTCCTCCGCAACCATCCGGACGTACCGCGAAAAGAATTACCGCGGATAAGCGGATAAACGCGCCGTTCCGTTGTGTTTTTACGCCCGCCGTCTGCGCGTTCCACGCCTTCCTTTTTCCTCTTTTTAACCGTTTCGAGATTTGTTTCCTCGTGTTTCTGACATCTTTTTGTTTTTTATTTTATATATTATGTCAAAATATATATGTGTATATATCTTTTGATAGACGAGAGATGATTTTTCTTTTTTAAAAGAAGATACAATTGAAATAATGTACACGTTCTATGTATATATTTTTGTTAGTAATTGCAAAATTAAGAATACCAAACGGAGGCGCGATATTAACGTTGGAATAATATTATCCAGAATTTCAAATCTGTTTTATAAGTGGAAGTTTTCGAGGGTTCTATAGATAGGGCTTTCTGGTAGAAATTCGAGGGATGGACGTAAGATCGAAGAGTCGAGTTTCGAAAGATAAAAGAAAGACCAACTGTTGAATATCGGCCAGTCTCGATCGATCCCTACGCCTACGCCCTTAATCGTAAAAGTTAACCAATTTTCTTACTTACGTTCTTGGCGATTCTCTCGGAATTTTTCGATTGCCTCTCGATCCCACTCCACGTTCTTGCCTCTCAATCTGTCGATCTTTTCCAGGCCAAAAAGTACCTCTTCCTCTGATTCCTCGCCCGGAC